AGCTCCAAGAACCCGTGAAGATGAAGCCTTTTGTTAGCTAAATCCAACCTCCAAGAGGTTTGCTAAGTGGTCTCCAAGTTTGGTGTGATTTGGAGGTGATTTGGGGTAGTTTTGGTTGAGATTAGTGTGCAGAATTTTTGTTGCAAATGAGTTAGAGAGAGGGAGTGTTTTGGCCGGCCATGAGGAGAGGGAAGAGAGAGTGTGATTTTGATCTAAGTTGGCTTCTCAAAGAAGATTAAATGTGTGGTGAAAAATTGCTCCAAAGTCAACTCTTGTAAGGCTCGTTTGGCACGTTTTTAGGCTCGATTTTCTCGCGCGTTTGGTTCACTAGTGCACTAAACCTCTAATGCACTCATGTTAATATAAACATTATTCACTCTTAATTGTCTCGAAACAAGGGTCTAAAGTTCCTCAAATAAAGTCGCGCGTGTCAAAACGCGTACCGCCAATTTTACCGCTATAACGCGAAACTTCCGGGAAATTCTTATAACGATAGTACTAATAACTATCACTTGAGTATTTAAACATTAAAATACCGAATTTAGGTCCATTGTACATGTCTCCAATATTCCAAACTTATTGTACTCTCAAGCGGATAAAATCTTCAAGCACTATTCACTGTTTTTACTAAACGCGCTCCAGGAAATTAATTCATGAAATGAGTTACTTTAAAAATATAACGAAGTTATATTACCATGTATTTAGGTCTAATAAGACTAGAAAATATTCCTCGAGGCAAATATCCAATTAAATAATTTATTAAGCCACAAATTAGGCTAAAAAAAATAATAGTTTTTACGAGTCCTCACAGTTTTGGTCAAACATCTCTTGGATTGCCAACACTTGTCACCACCAATTTTTCTCTTGTTTTTTTTTTCTTTTCCTCTTTTTTTTAGGTCAAGAATTTTGGCTGGTCTAAGGGTCAAATTAGGGAGAATTAAATGAAATAAAATCAAGGAGATTAAGGTAAGAAAATATTGTTCAAGTGGTGTACTCAACCGATAACAAACGGCGCACATCGATTCAAGCCTATTTTTCTTAACTCTCTCGTACTTTTGTTTTAACTTATGATTCACTAACTTATTATTAGCATTTCTAATCACATTCTTCCTCTTAATTAATACCCGCTCTTATCCACCAAATTTAGTACGCACACCTCACCAAGTGATCACACTACCAAAATGCACCAAAAACACACCAAAAACCCTAGTATGCACCATTCCTTTAGAAAAATCATAACTTGAGTTATAATTATCAAAAATTCATAAAACTTGGCCTATTAAAAGTAGACTTCAAATACTAATAATCTTTAGAAGACACCTCAAAGAGATTCAGTTCATAAGTTGGTCCAACTTGAGCTGTAAGCTACTATAACATTCCTATTTTTACTTATGCAGGGCAGAATTTTCAGTCAACTTTGCCAATTTTTTGGAATTTAGAGAGATTGAATCAAACTTTGAATTTTATGTCGTAGGAAACTCTATGAGTCTAGTTTCAAACAAAACAAACGAAACTCAATTTCGACTTTCTTATACGAAGTTATAGCCAATTTCCCAAAACTGCGCAGAGCCTCCTGCAAAAATTTCTAGATTTTCTAACAACTTGAGATTATGAAACTTTTCTTAACAAAATTCACTCCTTTTGCTCAAATTCAACCATTAAAACAACCAAGAATCTAAGGCAAGTAAGTTCAAATAAGAGCTATAAAGACAAGTAAAATTTCGGGGCCTCACAATAGTGGACCGGCTACATCCTTTTTGTGGCGGTTGAATTGTAGACCAGCTACATTTCTCTTGTAGTTGTTGAACTGGATCCGAGATGTCGGGTAAGTGAAATCTTGGATTACTCATGCGTATGCGTGAATGTAAGTCGATAACGGCTGAATTGAACCCTCGTTGGACCTCTTGCTTTAGACCAGCCTCAGAGTGGTCGGGTAAACTAGAAATCTTGGGTAAAGGACAAGTTCCTAACTTGTTTACTCTTGACTGAAATTCATCACTTGAATACTGATATTACTGAATACAAAGCATTTAGTCAACTAACGTCTCCAATTATTACTGCGTGAGCATTGGATAACAGCCAACGACTCCACTCCTGAATGCTGAATACTTGGGGCTATAAGCCAGATCCTGAATTATTGAATATCTAGGACTATAAGTCCAACCCAGAGTTAGTTGGTCGAATAGAGCCGACAAGGATTTGGCCGAGGAGATCGACGAACCTTGGGTACTTCTTTGGTGTTCGGACCCAATAAGGGGTATATTTGATGGATGGAAACTGGTGTAAAGTGGTGATCTACGGACATTAAAATTCGTGGTTGACGGAGAGTCAACAGACTTTGATCAAGCTACAGTGGAACTTGTTCATGAGAGCAATCTATATCCTTTGCCATGAATGTGTTCTCTGCTGTACATTTTGCATGATCTATCTGGCTATTTGTTTAACTATATATTGGATCATGATCTATTTGAGTTTGACTTATTTCTTGATATCCGGTGTATGGTCTTGCCTGTTATATTACCTGCCTGTTTTCTTGGAACTTTATTGGGTTTTTAGCTCATTCCATGCAAATTTGTTTTCCTTACAGGGATGACAACATGAGAGGTTGAATTGAGGAAGGCCTAGATTTCATCTAAGTTCATCAGTCGCTCACGCGAGCACTTCATAGATGTCTAGCCAGCTTGTTTGGTTTGATTTTTTTGCAAGTTTGACTCCTTGGTTGTATATTAGATTGTGGGACATTGGAGGTCCATGAGTGTATATATTGAAGGTTGTTCTTAATATCGCTTTTATTTTGAGGTTATCATTTGTAAATTTCATGAATTGTGACTGAGTCCTGGCAAGAATTGGATAGGCGGTCTGCCAAACTCTTGGTACGCCCTACGGAAAGGTGGAGCTGTCACACCTTTCGTCAATTTGAATCACTATGTTAAAAAGAATAAAGGCGATTCTTAATAGTTTTGGTCTATTTCTGTTAGACATAACAACTCAAGTTGACGTAATCATTATTAATATACATTTAAATTAGTTGGAGGGTAAAAACTGCCCATTAATAGTTGAAGGTCCAAAAATTAGAATTTGTAATAATTTAACGGCCACTGAAATATTTTGGCCCTGCACTTTTTATGAAGACATTGAAATCCAGTTTACATGTTTTGATAGTCAAAATGCCAAAATATAGCAGTACATTTTTATTGCTACAATTTGGACAAGATTTCTAATAAGGGCTAATTTTGTGATTTCTTTGAGGATGTTTCCTATTATTTTGGAGTCAATTTGTGAAGTTAAATGCTATGAATTACTCATTTTGTTCTCTCATTTGCACTTTGAGTTGATAGATAAATTAGCTGTGATTTTGTCATTTTACTCATAAAATCTCATTTTTGTAGAGAAAATGATCAAGCTCAATTGAAAGTGAAATGGTGAACTAACAAGGTGAGCATTAGAAGTTTGAGAAGCCACGGCAATATTTAAAAGATGAAGTGCAACTCAAGGATGAAGAATGGAAAGTTAAAAAAATAGAGAGAAAAGAAGAAATCCTTGACGGTTACTCAGCGGATTCTGCAAAGGATTATGGGCAGAATATTGACTTTGAAGAGAAAACAGGGAATCACATGCTCTGCATAATCCCTGGAAGAAGGATTCTTCACAATCCCCTTGTGGTTTCTCAAGAAATCCTCGAGGGATTGGTGGCGGCCGCAAATTGCCAACTTGTTTGACCTTGTATTTCTTTTCCATTCTTCATGGGACAAAAAGGGACAAAGTATAGTTGTAGTGAGGGGTTCTAGGAGCTTCTCTTGTTGACTTTTTGACTCCAATAATGCAAGACCAAAAATATATAATACCTAGTTCTTCTAGTTTTGGGAGTTTAGTTCTAGTTGGTTTGATAGAAGGGAGAGAGTTTGGAGGAGAAGAAAAACAACCAAAGGGTTGTGTCAAAGAGCAAAACACAATCCCTTAACAAATGCAGCTCTCTTTATTTTCTCTTGTTTTAGTGTAGGTTAGTGCAATAGAATCAAGTTGTGGTTATCAACAAGAAGGCTAGGGAGATGAAGAAGGAGAGGCTCAAGAAACCCTAGTGACAAGGGTTTCATTTTTTCCACAATTTTGTTTTTGTATTGCACTCTAAGTTTGTTAATGTAAGATTTGGATATTGTGTTTGTGATATTTGTAATGACCCCACCTCCCTTTAGGACGTACTCCAAGATTTGGCAGTCCGCCTACCTGGCTCTCGTCAAGACTCACTGACAATTCCCAATAGTAATAAGAATAACCTCAAGAACAATTAGGGGTAGGCACGGGCCGGGTACCCGTCCCATGTCAGAACCCGAGAAAATGATGTGTATACCCTAAAATTATTATATTTTAGTTACTTTGATATTAGAAAATTATATATAACGAATAAACGGTTACCTTAAATGCCTAATTGAGTCTCTATAAATTGAGAATTTAGAAAATAAATTCAATAAGTACATGTCTAGAAGTGTAGAAAAAATTTACGAATTAAATAAATATATGATGTGTATATCGTAAATTGTGTTAATTGCAAATACCACTAAGACACATAACATACACTAAAAGTGTAACAAGTACATGTCTAATAAGTTTTTCTTAAAGCTAAATGTGTCAAAATCAATGTAAGAAATTTTCCCACGAAAATACAAATGAAGTTAGGAGTTCATACATAAAATATAAAAGTTTCAGGCCTTAGAGAGTAATTAAACTACAACTAAAAGACCAAACTAACCTTAAAATTCTAGACTAATTACCATGCGGCCATCACTTAAGCTATCACAATTTCACCCAAAAAAAAAAACCAATGGAACCGAATGGAAGTTAGGCAATTGTCTGCTAAATCCAAGCGGTGGGAGGTTGGGATCTAACTGAGATTGGGCGGTGAATTGAGACAGCTGTCAGGAGGGAATGCATCACCAAATTGCTGAATCAGCAATAACCGAATGAGAACAGCGTAAAGAAACAAAAACTGGCGGGCTGAGAGTGAGAAACAAAAGCTTTCTTCCTTTTCATACCAAAGAGTCGTAAGAGGAGAAAATCAGTTGGCAACTTCAACTGACCGATTGCAGTTGAGAGAAAAGAAGGAAAAGTTGGTGCGAGAGCTAAAGGAACTGAGGCTGAGATTAGGAGCAGACTGCGACCATAAAACTTGAAGGGAAAGGTAAGAATCCTCTGCAACGTTCCTTCATTTGCTGAGAATAACTGGATACATGGATTGTATGTTAGGTTGCAGCAAGGAAATAAATTTTTACTGAGGGAAAATCTGATGGAAGAATAAGATTGAAGCTAGACTGAACTTATGGGAACCGAGAGATAGTTAGTTGAATTGCAGCCTGTTAACAATGGAAAAATGGAAGAGTATTGTAGAAAATGTATGAAAATGTTTGTTTCTGGCATAAAGTGGAATTTACCTATAGGAACTTGTGAAAAATGGGAACATTGAGCTGGAATGGTTAAGTGAAACCCGATGAGCTGCTGTCGGTTTCATCTGAGAAGGAGTGGAAAATTTCAGTTGATTTTCATGAATAATAACTCTAAAATATCCTGTGTTAACCTGTAAAGTGTGCCTGGCATCTTGATTGCTTCACGCATGAGGCGGTGAGAATGAAATGAGAGAATTGAATTCGAAGGAGGTCTGATGCATGCTGCCATGCATCAGATTTTGCTGCTAAGCTCAGGCATGAGAATTAGTCCAGCTTTTCCCTCTGAATTCTGATCATAAACAGCCATACTTTAGCTCGGATAATTTGTAGTGGATCAATATACTCTGTACGAGTAGCTGGAATACAAAACTGAAGAGAAACCAAAGAGAAAACTCAGCTGCTAAGTCATTACTTGCTGGAATCTGTTGGCTTCGTCTGAGTAAAACTGATAAGAAGCTTTGGATATTCCCTGCAAACCCTTAGCTTCTAAACTGACTTACAGAGTTGAAACCTGTCCTAATGCCTCTAAACTTTAACCAGAAAAAAAGGAATGAGTAGGAACTAAACTGAGTGATGAAGGGGGGAACAAGTTCACTGATTGCAGGTTGTTGGCCGAGGGAAGGAAGCAGAAGGTGCTTCTGACCGGCCATTTTTTACCTTGAAAATGCAAGAACTGGGTGTCAATGTTTTCATAAGAAATGTAGGTCTATGTCTTAGCTTCGAAATGCTATAAAATTTACCTCAATCCAATAAGCGTAGCTCTAGTTATGTTCAAAAAACCAGAGGGTGGCAAAGCAGAATGTTGGCCGAGGGAGTGAAGCAGAATGTCCTTCTGTCCGGCCATTTTTTACCCTGAAAATGTGAGAACTGGGTGTCGATATCTTCATTAGAAATGTAGGTCTATATCTTAGCTTCAAAATACTATAAAATTTGCCCCAATCTGATAAGCGTAGCTCCAGTTATGATCAAAACACCAGAGGCTGGAAAAGCTGCCTTGCTCATTGCCTTTCTTTTGTTCCCCGAATGCATTTTTGCGATAATGCTAGCCGTGAGAATCAACTTTTAACCAGCATTTCATCTAATTTCCAACTTTGTAAGCTTTCATAGATGATAGCTAAGGCTACTTTGTAGCTTAATGAATATGAGTTGCCTATCTAGTAAGAGCATGAGATTGAGAGGAAGGAGTGGAGGGAATAATGAGTGCTGGACCGTGTACATTGCTAGAAAAATTAGTGGTGAATTTATACGAAAGATCTCATAGCATTTTGACACTAACTATATGAACAATTTTGAGAACTTAAAACTAGAAAACTAATAAATTTAACAAGACGTAAACCACAGGCAATCTAGTATTTGATTTAACTTAAAATGGAAGGAATGAAAGGTCTATTTATTCTAACCTTAAAATATTGAGTAGGACATAGTTTAATCCTAGTCCAAACATTTTACAAAGCTATGAACCTGAAAATATATATCTTTCTTGATTTGTAACGAAAAGTTAATATTCAAGAGAAAATGTGGGATGGGTTGTTGGATTGTTATATCTTGATTTATAAGCCAAACTTTTTTCAAAAAAATTTTGTTATATGATGTGTTACAATAAGATATATCAAATGTTATTTGAGTTTGAACTACAAAGTTTCCCCACCATGCCTTACTGTCACACTTGCCCCTCTTATCCTCCTAACTGATGACATGCCCAACCTGTCTAGACGAACCTCCCCCCTTGCCAACTTTGGGAACGTGTGAATGTGTTCATAGATAACACAAAGCTGATGCTGATGAGAGACACCCACATTGGCAAGAATATCTACCACTCGGTTAGCTTCTCTGAAGCAATGAGAAATTCGTGCTACGTCCGCTACCAACTCCCAGATTTGATCCACCTCGTTCTGGATCCGCCACGGGCACCTGAAACTTGACTTTAGTGGTTTAAATTATAAAGTAATAAATGATAAGTGATAATATATAAATTGTAGAACTTAGAGAACTAGTGTAAAGAAATAACATTTAAGTTACGAACGACTTAAAGTTAATTAGTTAAAACGGGGACCAATGGAGTGTTCCTAAACTTTAATCTCAGAATCTTAAGTGAAAAATAGTCTACTCTTAATTTAGATATTTTATAAATTATAAACTTGAAAAATAAGTATATTCCTTGGTTTAAATGATAAAGTCAATAAGTCGAAATGACATATAGAATAAATATTGAATATATTATATTTTATATTTTAAAGTCAAACTTGATTTTAATAACGTCAATAATAGGACAATAAAGTACCTTAAAGGTAGTTATTTCTAAAATTCACCTTATTAAAGGTTAATGTTAAGTTCAGTTGATTTAAAAAGCTGTAATTAATGAATATTGAATTGAGAAAGACATATTCCTGATGTAAATATTATACAAGGATACAAACCTGGGAAAAATGTATAATTCTTAGTTCAAAATAATAAAGTTAATAAATTTTGAAATAAAATGTAAAATAAATATTAAATACTATATTTTGTATTTTAAAGTCAAACTTGACTTTAATCGATCAAATAATAGGATAATAAATAATAAGTGAACATCTATAAATTATATATTCACTTTGGAATTATGAACTTGTCTCAGGAAGTAGCTGTGAGCCAGGAAACGAACCCGTGGCTCGAGAATAATTTATTTGGGTATTTGGTGAGTGTTTTTCCAAATTTATGTGTTTAACTGTTTGTGTGTTTCTAAGTGAAATTATGTGACAAATGTGCTTATCATGAATTATTACTAAATGATTTCTTGTGAAGTGTATCTCAATTGTCCCTCGCCTTCTAAGTCGAGGGTGTATTTTATCGCACTCGACTTAGTTGAGCTTGAAGATTGATAATTAACTGAATGTTACTGTAAGTGTGCATGAATGTAAGCCGTATGTGTGCCTCGCCGCATCGGCTGAACTGGACCCCAAAACCCTCTGTTCAACGGACTATTCGAGCCAGCAAAGGGCTTGGTCGGGTAGGACGGTAGATTTGGGTAAATGTTTTGGTATACTCGAGTATTACCATGAGATTGGGAGATTATTGAACTTATTATTGAATGTAGGGGATTGTATATTGTTTTGGAGGACATAAGGAGGTGAATTGGTGGAATGTGCAATGATATTGAAATGAATGTGAATGTGCAATGATAGTGAAATGAGTGTCTCTTAACACTGAAACGAATGCTCAATAAGAAGATGGGTATGCCCTAGGAGAAGGTGGGATCGTCACATCCCATCCACCAATTGGCTGACCCGACCCATACCTCACGGGTCAATCATTTTCTAACTCTTACCCACTCCACATATTAGTGGGTATCCTATAATCGGGTATCCGCTAAAATAGTGTTAGGTCAACATGTACCCGCCCCACTCAACTTATCATTTAATTTTTTTAAAAAAAATTATATTAATTTAATTTTATATTTTTCAAATTCATCTAAGATTTAATAAAGATTTTTTCTCAAAAAAAGTCCCCAACCAAGAAACAAATATGTGAAGAGAATATGAAATAAAAGAAAACATAAAAAAAAATTAAAAAATCAATAAAAGTTTGAAACAAGTAGCACATTTTTTCAAATATATGTTCCACATTAATTAAACCCTTTTCTATAAAACATAAAATCATGATCTCTACAAATGAATCTTGTAAATAAACTATAGTTTCTTATATTTATAATGCAATTTGTTCAATGAAATTACTTATTTAGCTCAAAATTATTATTTTATAGTATGTTATAAAAAGAAAAGAAATAAAAAATATATACGCGAGGTGGCTCGAGTATCCGCAGGTTTTTAATTATGTGACCCTAACCCGCTCCACATCTTAGCGAGTACCCAACCCTCTTTTGATTCTATCAAATAATACAAATTGGATATCCTAATTTTTGGATAGGATCAGATTGGATATGGCGAGTTTTTGAGTTAGTGGATAATTTTGCCCACCCCTAAGAACAATAATAAATGCCAAACTCCAATATATACACATTAACATCAACTGTCCAGTGATTCAAGTTTCAATAATACAATCAGAGATTCAAGTTTACACACCAAAAAAAAAACCAAAAGTCATTAGGACAATAAACAAAACTTAGACAAAAGCTTTGCCGTCTCCAACTCTCACTCCCACGAGCTCGCCCTCTATAAGACAAACAAACTAATAGGTGAGTTTTTGTCCAGTGAGATTCCAAGAAATATGCAACCAAAGTATCAAGATGACAATCACATACATCACAATCTCAAAAGGAATAAAGTAAATGCCAATAAGACAAGTCATTAATATTTCAAATAAGCAATTAGCACTTTCAAGTATAAGGATACAATTTTGCTCATGCGAACAAATTCAATGTAGCCTGTCCCAGATCTGTTGACACTCCATCAACCATGGAAATGCGGTAACAATATCCAGTAGATCACTATATCACTCCAGTCTCTGTCCACCGATCATCCCTCTTATCAGACCCGCTGATAGGGATATAATTATGCAGTTTATTTGTGGTTATTTGGTCTTAATTTTGGTAGTTTATTATGCAAAGTATTGGATTTCTGCCCAGATTTGGTATTTGTGTTATTTGCAGGCGAAGTGGTGTTAAAAGTGACAAAAGGAGACAAATTCCAGAAGACTAGGCATTATAAGGCGTGCCCACGCCAGACAAGGTAGAGTTGCGTGAAAAAGACGGACCACGGGTCCTATCCCTTGGACTACCACCTTTCTTTGGAAACAAATTCTGAACTTACGTGGGATTAGGAAGCCTTTTGAATGAAGACTTTTGGCAGCAACACTATAAATAAAAAGACAGCAATAGACTAGGGCATCTTCGTCTTGGACTTGTCTCTTTGTTTTTTTTCTTTTTCCTTTTGAATGCAAGTAGTGAGTGGCAGCCGATGCCTTTTACTACTCCCTCAATCAACAAAAACTCCATGAAAACTCCGAATTGCTTCATGATTATGCGGCAAGGCTAGTTCTTTTATCTAGTTGAGGAGTAAATCAAGGATCGGGGCACCATAAGTGTGAGATCGTTTTAATTGTTTATTTTTAATTTATATGTTCATGGGTATTTGATTATTCTCTATTTTCCCTGAGTTATTATTGTTTAGATTTATTGGATAATTAGGCCTGTTATTCGAGTGTCTAAATAATTGATAGCCAATTAGGATGTTGGCGCGTTGCCTTTAAGCATCTTGATTAGTGACAAACGAGACAATTTCACCGCCTCGCAAGCGGTCTAATTTGGATCGTGGGGATAATTAATCTAGCCTAAATAAACCCGCATGTGTGTTTGTCATCTAGAATTGGGTCTTTCTAATGTCTAATGCTGTGGCTACATTAAATCCTGTGAGCGTTTCTGGGTTGTCTAGTCACAAGAGGGTAGTTTATGAGCGTCTCTTGACTACCATAAAAGTAAGGAAAGATTGGTGGTTGGGCGCGTCGCTTGACCACTATAACCAGTTTATTCGTGAGTATATGAATTGTCCCTTGTATCTGTGATCAGTTGTGTGCTTCGGTGCCAAGATTAATTCCTTGACTAGGTTGTTTTAATTAATTGTTATTTGTGTAATTGGGTTCCCGCTATCTTACTCAACTTTGAATTTCAGTTTTTATTTCTTTTTAATTAGTTGGTACTATTGCTAAAATTCCCCCCATTTTCCTGTGTGATAAATCTACCGGTTCCCTGAGGAGACGACCCTACTCACCACTATACTCATTCAGTTTTGGTAGTAGGTCTAATATAAATTTTATTTTTGTTGGTTTGACACCCACCAAATTTTGGCGCCGTTGCCGGGGACCTGGTGCTTGAAGTGATTTATTGCACAAGTTTGTTTTGTTTAGTTCGTTCCATTTTTTTTTTTTTTACTATTTATGGCTGCTAATCTTCCGTATTTTGGTGATGGATTGGATTTTATTTCTAAAAGGGATTATGAGACTCGTACTTTTTCTAATAATCAATTGGCTGTTGCAAATTGTGGGAGTTATTTTGCCTCAGATTATTCAGCCGACATATACCCCCCCTTTCAAGATGGCCTGAGTGCTCCAATCGACACTCTTGGAGATTTTTCCCCTCAATATCAAATGAGGTATGACCCTTACTCAAACGGGTATGATCAGGGATGGTGGGACAACTCCAATTTTAATTATACGCCAGAGCCAATAGATTTTCAACATCAATATCAACAGCAACAGCCAGCATCCATGTCAGGTATGTCTCTTGAAGAAATGGTTAAATTAATAGCTACTAACACATATCAATTTCAACAGGAGACATATAAATTTCAGCAGGAGACAATGGATTTTCATCAGGAGACACAAGTGAGCATGCGTAACTTGGCAAATCAAGTGAATCAATTAACATCTAGGATAACGCAATTGACTTCTCAAATGTGTGAGAAATTGCCCTCGCAGACTATTATCGATCATGAGGAAGATGAGAGTGCAATTATCCTGACAAATGACATGAAACTGCAAGAGTCTCAAGAAGACAGATCTAAAGATGTAGTTGAAAAGAAAGTTAAAATGCAAGAAATGAGATCCCAACATCAAATTGCTCAAGTGAATAAATCTAGTGCACAATCGCCGAATACGGTGACATCTCCTCCATTCCTCAATCAATATTCTCTTGATTCTTATTCTTTAATTCCTGTTAGTGAGATTGATTTTATTATGTCAGAAAATTTTGAGTTTCATGACAGGAATAAGTTAAGAGTCATGATGACAAAATATCTCGAACCAATAAATGCTCTTGATGGAGGAGTGAGTGAAGACTTAAGGTCATTACTTGTATGTTTGGCACCATCTACAAATTCATGGAAGACCGTACCTCGTGTGCTCAAAGATTACTCTATCTACGAGGGTTATCAGGATTATACAGAGGACGAAGCATTGAAACGAGCCACAAGATTATATCCTCCGTGAATAAACAGGGCAACGTCTAGCCAAAGACATTAAAAAAAGGCGCTTTTTGGGAGGCAACCCAAGGCCTCCATTTTTTGTTATAGTTCTCTTTCATTTTTCGTTGATTTTGGGTTGTTTTGTTTCATTGCAAGTGTTGGGCAGAAGACTCTGCCTTATAAGGCATGGTCACGCCTTACAGCAACCCTAGTCGACTCTGGGGACACAGACTTGGATTTACAAGGCATGCCCGCGCCCTATAAGTGATGCTCTTGAACACCGTAGAAATGCTTGGGCAGAAGACTCTACCTTAAAAGGCGCGGTCACGCTTTACAACAACGCTGCCAGTCCCTGACACCTCCTCTATCATGGTGTTTTGCTGCAGTTTTATTCATTTAGGGAAGTTTTTTGCTCCCTTCACTTGACTTCCACTTTTCGTTCTTACATTGAGGACAATGTAGACTTTAGGTGTGGGGGGGAGTAGTCTAACTTTTCCTTCTTACTGCTTTTCTTTCTTCCCAAAAGAAAAAAAAAACCTTTACCATGCCTTTTGGACTTTTATGGTTAGCCCTGATAAGCAATGGCTAGATTTTCAAATTTAACTATTGTTACGGTTTTAGATGATAATATGTTAAGTATGATATGGTAAAATTTTAGGATGACTCTTTGGTAAATATTTGAGATTTTGTGACTCTTGCCATTTCTCTTGGTTAACTTTTCTTGGCATTGTAAATATTTTTCTGACATTTTTGTGTGAACTGGTTCAATTATTAATCTTAGTTCTCCATGTTAAGGAAATGAAGCAGGCTTGCATGGTTTTAATTTTACATGGGTGTTTATTTATGAATAATATTCGGCTATACTCCGCTGGTTATCATTGACTAGTAATTGGGGGTCTTCACCTAAAGTGTCGATTTTCGCGTCAAAAAGCAGCGATAATTATGAGTATGTGGTCTTTAAGCGGTTAAAGTTGAGTAACCGGGCTCCTTCATTGGAGAGATGTCGGAGTTCGCGTCAAAAGACTTGAATGGCTCAAGACTAAGCACTTCCTTCAAGAAGGAGGGAAGAAAAAAAAAGAGGAAAAAGAAACAAAAAAAATGAGAAAAATGAGAAAAATGAAAAAAAAAAAAAAAAAAAAGGTATACGAGCATGAAAGTTTGTGAATAATTGTATTGCCTGCAGATCCATGAGTCTTTATGTTGAGATTTTGCTTAATAGTTGGACCGATTATTTTAAAAAAAAATGTTGGTTGGATATTTTCTATTCTTAGATTAGTTAGTCTGGATTTGAAAGTCGTTGGTTTTAAAAGTTAGTTGGAGAGTTATCTCGTAAAATTTGTCATCAGTACTTGACAGTTATCTAAATGATACATTGGCAATAGTTGCTTTGATTAATAGCCATTGTTTTGAATTCGACTGCTGCAAAAATGTTTGCTCGCTTGGGTGTGTATTTAAAGTTTGAAATGCTTGAGGACAAGCATTGTCTTGGTGTGGGGGAATTTGATAGGGATATAATTATGCAGTTTATTTGTGGTTATTTGGTCTTAATTTTGGCAGTTTATTAGGCAAAGTATTGGATTTCTGCTCAGATTTGGTATTTGTGTTATTTGCAGGCGAAGTGGTGTTAAAAGTGACAAAAAGAGACAAATTCCAGAAGACTAGGCATTATAAGGCGTGCCCACGCCAGACAAGGTAGAGTTGCGTGAAAAAGACGGACCGCGGGTCCTATCCCTTGGACTACCACCTTTCTTTGGAAACAAATTCTGAACTTACGTGGGATTAGGAAGCCTTTTGAATGAAGACTTTTGGCAGCAACACTATAAATAAAAAGACAGCAATAGACTAGGGCATCTTCGTCTTGGACTTAGTCTCTTTGTTTTCTTTCTTTTTCCTTTTGAACGCAAGTAGTGAGTGGCGGCCGATGCTTTTTACTACTCCCTCAATCAACAAAAACTCCATGAAAACTCCGAATTGCTTCATGATTATGCGGCAAGGCTAGTTCTTTTATCTAGTTGAGGAGTAAATCAAGGATCGGGGCACCATAACTGTGAGATCGTTTTAATTGTTTATTTTTAATTTATATGTTCATGGGTATTTGATTATTCTCTATTTTTCCCTGAGTTATTATTGTTTAGATTTATTGGATAATTAGGCCTGTTATTCGAGTGTCTAAATAATTGATAGCCAATTAGGATGTTGGCGCGTCGCCTTTAAGCATCTTGATTAGTGGCAAACGAGACAATTTCACCGCCTCGCAAGCGGTCTAATTTGGATCGTGGGGATAATTAATCTAGCCTAAATAAACCCGCATGTGTGTTTGTCATCTAGAATTGGGTCTTTCTAATGTCTAATGCTGTAGCTACATTAAATCCTGTGAGCGTTTCTGGGGTTGTCTAGTCACAAGAGGGTAGTTTATGAGCGTCTCTTGACTACCATAAAAGTAAGGAAAGATTGGTGGTTGGGCGCGTCGCTTGACCACTATAACCAGTTTATTCGTGAGTATATGAATTGTCCCTTGTATCTGTGATCAATTGTGTGCTTCGGTGCCAAGATTAATTCCTTGACTAGGTTGTTTTAATTAATTGTTATTTGTGTAATTTGGTTCCCGCTATCTTACTCAACTTTGAATTTCAGTTTTTATTTCTTTTTAATTAGTTGGTACTATTGCTAAAATTCCCCCCATTTTCCTGTGTGATAAATCTACCGGTTCCCTGAGGAGACGACCCTACTCACCACTATACTCATTCAGTTTTGGTAGTAGGTCTAATATAAATTTTATTTTTGGTGGTTTGACACCCACCACCCGTACACCAAATATAACAATACGGGTAATACTCAAGTATGCCAAATCCAGTGTAATAACCAATAAACACTACCCATGGTTCGTCAATCTCCTCGACCAAATCCTTGCTGGCTCGATTCGACCAACTAGGCAATGGGGTTTGAGATCCCAAGCACTTCGTACAGTCAGTGGGATGATATATCCAAACAAGTTTCAAGTCATGCACATTTATATTATTTCACTTGTAAACAGTGTCAAATTAGAGTAAATGCAATAAAGTACACACTCGCCCAACCAAAATCAAGTCAAGCGAGTTTAACAATTTAATAGCAATCAACCATGTAATCAAGATAGCATTTCACGTATTCAACAATCTCGCCAAGATCACATTTCAATCAAGCTACAAGTCCTAACATGCAGTTGGAACACACATCAACTTATCATGATCTTGTCTTGTCACTCACCGGTTCTCTCTCTTGGCCACTCTCAAATCCTACTATCATATATAGTATAGCAAGAATCCATCAACTCCAAGCCACTATAAGTGAGAAACTTGAAGCTTTAAACTTCCCCTTCGACAATACACACATTCATCGATTTTTAACTCCCAATATAGCTTCCAAAATCACAAGGTTTCTTGTTCAAAGCAAGTGGGAAACCCATATACGATAGCTCAATACTTCAAGCATAATATGGAGAAAAAATATGGTGATTATAGTCACGAATTTTGAAGAAAACGGGTCAAGACTCTCAAGGTTCAAAACTAGAAATTACCAACAATAAAAGTGTTTGGGGAAAGCTCATTTTCTTCCTCTCAAACCTCTTTGTTTTAGCTCAAATCCAACATATATATGAAGATCATGGTTCTATCAAGTGACTCAAGCAAAAGTATGTCAAAATCAACCTAAACTTAAAACTCAAACTCCCCTTCTCTCACTCGACCAATAAGGAAAAATTTTCAGCAACTTGCTCCCAATTCCTTTCATCTAGACCTCCACCTTTCACCCTTATTTCCATGGGAAATACACGAGTTCAGAACTAACATGTAATTAGGTGTATAACATATATTTTTGGCAAAGAAATCCATCAAAATTTCACATATATATACTCTAATCTAGGCTATATACTTTATGCACCAAAGCTGAAAATTTACAATATAACTTGAGAAGACATAAAATCCTCCGTAAAAGTCATTCTCGAATTCTCAATTATGAATCTTAATGTACCAAATTCTCAATTGTTGAGTTAGGGTATGTTGTTTGGTAGAATTGCAAGATACAACTAATGAATAGTGTTGAAGTGTTCTTTCGGCTAGGTAAAAAAGACATAACCTGTAGGAGCATAAAATTTTTGTGACTGGATTTACCGCAGAAGTGCAACATTAGTTCTTATATTTCTTTTCGTTCTTTCTTGTTAAAGGATGCTAATTCAGTTTAGAAAGCCATTTTGATGCCCCATACCTTCGGGAGGGCAGGACAGACTTACCTTCTGGAGTATAGGCCAGAAGCTGAATTTTCTAGTAAGAGTGGAAACTGAGGCTGTGAATCTTGTCCCCTGGAAGTTCCAAGTTTGAAGAGCGGCTCTTAGTATGGTTTGATGGGAAACATTTTGTCACCAACCCTCAGTATTCTTGATTGTTTTACAAAGATTCAAAACACCTGGATCTTATTGGCTCAAATTGCATCCAGAGAGATCCAATTGAACAATTTCTTCTATGCATCTTTCAGTAATACTTCACTGTCAATTTATATCATCCACATAATGAAAACTCAGGATGCAAATGCAATCAATTAGGGGAGAAGGAAAACTTAGCCCACTCCGATTGACAACTAGGGCCAAAATTAAGTTAAGCTAATAGAAGCCTTTGATCCTTTTGTACACAATATCTGAAGCCCACTAACCTCTTATGTTGTTATTAGTTTAACTGGAGACTCCAAGCATCATAAGGAGAAAGGGGGGAAGATGATCGATAACTTGAGAATTGAATTAGGTCTTACGGTCACCCGATTAATGTTTTGACCATATAAGTTTGGTCTTAGGAACCATTAACCTCAATTAGCAAACTAAAAAGCAATAAAGTTGGCTAAGCCCATTCTGCCACTTAATATTTCACCAGAATTTTGGGCTACTAAACACAATCTGAAGTTCATTAACCATATTCGCAGTTCTAATATTACAATGTCTGTAGGTCACTTCGATTTTCTTGATTTTGCAAGTTCAGGAGCGCGGGGGCCTTAAGATATCATAAACGCTTAGCATGCAGATGGTGGTTGACACTTGAAGCCTAGGTTTTGTATTCCTTATCCTTTTAAGGTTTGTAAATTAAAACGGGGAGATTTTGAGTACATTAAGAGATTATTCATAATCGTAAAGCCAAACAAGAGAGAATTAACACTAATCAGACCCTATATATCATAAACAAGAAATATTTTGGTTTTACGAATACGATTACGACAATCCCATCGAGTTTTAATCGTAGTACTACAAGAGCTTGGGGATTTTTATTTTGGATCCGCCAGTTTTATACATATATAGTCGTGCTTGCTTAATTAAATTTTCCTTTTCTCTGCTAATGATATTTTATTTTGTTCGTATCAAATGATTGTCTTCTTAAACTAAATACAGTGCATGCTATTTTTTTATTTTTATTTTGCCTTTCGACGTTGTCTGAACTTCATGCTTGACTGATGAACATTCTATCACGAATACTGAAAACAAGAAACCAATTTGAGTTCTATATTGTAAAATTCATTGTTGGAGAATGATTTTCTTTCAGAGTAAATTAAAGTAAATATTAGAGTCTAATGTAGTTGCACTTCTTTTGCAATTAATTATTATACCTGCTGGATCTTTGATTGAATTCATTTTAGAGAAAAAACGACAAAAGAAGTTCCTTACATATTGTCTTTGTAGTTATTTAGTCCTCCACTTTCAAAATGATGCAATTTAGTCCCTCACACAAGCAAATGGCACCATTGTAACCCCAAAGCCCATTTCGGAGAACTTGTTGGCTTGAAAATGTCAAGTGATCCCCAAATGATTGGTAATAATTTGTCCAACAATTCGTTAATTCTCTTTCAACTTCATTTCAGAGGAGCAAGTAGCATATTAGAACTTTGAGATGGACGCTTAGTTGAAGGCTTGAAGCTTGATTGAGAGGTTTGCAACTCTTATCAATTCTTTATGCACATAGGCACTGACGGCTACAACATAAAACTGCGCCTGGTTTGCAGTGTTTACAAACCGCATGCAGATTATTAAAACACACAAGATCCGTTTGGATAGCTTACTATTTACATAAATTTATTTGATCGTATCATA